CAAGGAATTTTGACTTTTTTGGGTATGAGGTCCTTTACAACCATTAAAATATCATTAAATAACAGTTGCTAGTGTTCAGGAAAACGGAATATTAAAGTGTTAATAAAAAATGGAATATAATTGAAATTCCTTTCGGATATTTATTTAAGAAATATCAGAGGCTTAGCAAAAAATGTAATGTTATATTAGGGTGTAGCAGGTGCTCACATTATGATCTTTAAATATTTATTTATTTTAAATGGCAGGCGTTCTGATAGATATCTTTGACCATTTGGCTGACTTCGGGCTTCACAGAGGGAAGGTTCATCAAAGTAGCAGAAAGTCGAGGGGTGGGGAACAGAAGAGCGATTCACAGATGTAAAAGAGGCAGATAGACACAAAGGTTTAGAAAAAGGTAAGGTGAGTGCTGTGGAAGGGTTTGAATATGACAACCAGGGGGGTCGTGGTAGTTTGAAGTCAGAAGTCAAATGCCGGTTAATAGACTTTTTTGCCGTATGATTTTACGTTGCCCAGGGTGCACCACGTGGAGGTAAGTCTATCGCGCACCCCTGATCTTTAAATAATATATATATATATACACTCCAAATGTGTTTATATTTGATTGGTTTTGGCTTCATATCTAGTTTCGTCATGCTGGGAGGTGTAATGATTTATCAGCTTATGTAAGAGTAGCGGACTTCTAAAGTGATGAAGAAGACTGTCTGAATGAGTTGATCTATTAGCCCTAATTATAAGGCAGTCAAATAATATAAGTAAGGGATATTGATTAACAAATTTTTTTTAATTCACAAAACTCACATTTGAGTACTTCAAATCTGAAATTCAAATTTACTGATAAGTTGTTGCCATAGTTTTGGTACTTCTAAGACATCTTAGTTTTCTGCTCTATCGGTGTAAAGGTTGCAATAATTTAAAGTTTAGTCAGCGAAGGTGACCATTAATAAGTATTTTCGTAATAAAGAAAATTTAAAATTTCGGAACAAAATCAATTGCACAAGTCCACTAACTGGATAGGGAAATGATTTTAAAAATGCCAACAAACATAACTAAACTCCACGTAATCTCGAGGTAAATGCAATTCACATCTCCACGTGATCTCCAAATGTCCTACAAGGCTTATTCATAGGCGTATGATATCTTGGCACTGATAAGTCAAGCTTCAACTGTTGTCCAAACAAAGTTACTAACTAAACTACGCTTTTTGACATGTACCAACTATCAAGTGCTAATATATTGTGGCCACCTAGAACATATTGAAGGAAAATTGCTTTGCACATCAAAATTTTCAAATAATCGGTTATTTGCTGGTATTCGGTCTTTACTGGTGAATGTTAGCTTAAAGCCAGTACAACTTGAATTAACTTGGTACGAATTTCAGATCGAAGCCCTCATTTGCCATCCCTCCTATCACTATCAAATAAAAATTAAATTGGCTCTGGCGTCAGCTGACGCTGCAGACAAGTATGCATTGGCCTTGCATACTTGTCTGCATCAACAGCTTATCTCTACTGTTCCTATATTTGATCAATAAACCACTATGTGTGGTCGGTCCAATAATGTGCGCAATATGCAATTGTCTGCCCTCCCCCCATGTTGTCAATTTCTTTCGCGCCATATGCGAGAGATGGTTATATATGCAACTGCTTATACGAAATTTAGCACATAAAGAGCAGGGGATGTAGAATGTGCACTTGGTCATTTGAGGTTAGGCATTGACAATCAATAAGGTACTCGGTGGAGCGTGTCTCCAAATGATAGCTAAGCTAAGATCTTTCCAAGACAGGGATTTCAGCAATATGAATTCGGCTTTGTTGTATTCTGAGCATTTTAAGACCACCTTTTTTCTGGCACATTTAAGGAATTGGGATCCTATTATTCTGTGAGATTATATTATTGGCAACCTCAACGAAACATATTCAGTCGAAGTTGAATCGAGCTGTTGGTATGATTTACTGGCGTGAATTTAACTAATATGCTAGCTACGTTTGTACCTCTCAGTGTGACGCACTAATTTAACTATATTTAATCGAAGAAGCCATCAGACACCAATTAGGGAGGTAAACAATATATTTTATGACAGAATATCAATCCTTCTGCAATTAATCATTGTAACTTAATCGGCCAAATTGGCATGCATGGGGATTAACAACCTCTCTCAAACAATGAATTGAGTGCCCATTCAGGCTCAGCAAACTCCATAACGTTTTATAACAAATTCGGAATTTATCGTTGTGTACAATAGAGTGCAACAATAGTGCATTGATTGAAAGGGAAAGAAAATTCAATAGAATGATTATCTTTTTGGCTTTAATTCAGCACAGCGTGAGCAGTTATTCAGGTATTCTTCATTAACTTTCTCAAACCAGTGAGGCAATTATGCAGATGATTTTCAGAAGGGAAGAAATAAAAACTTAGGTTGTAGATGTAAGTCAGAGAAGATGAGTTCGGCATGGATGGTCGCGTTTGTCAAGTCAAAAGAAGCATATGGAGTTAGCAAGCATGCATTGGTTGTACAGGCTTGTCTTAGAATGCATGTTATACATAGAGTCTCCCAGCATAACCATTTGACATCTTGACAGAATGAATAAAACTTATTGACCAAATCGATTGTTTGACCTTCACAGTTAAACACCGCAAAAAACGAATGCTAACTTACTAGTCTATCTTGGTATGTGAATATCCACTGTTTTTGCCTAGTTCACAAAGGTGAAAGCGAGCTGTAGTGTGCTCATATTCCATTTTATGGCTATTTACTAGTGAAGCTAAGGAAAAGGTCGAAGTCACAATATCTACACTCTCACGAGTTTATTTATTTTTAGCTGTCATAAAGATTTTCTCGATATCTACATCGACGTTGCCTCCTCACATCCGCGAAATGAGGACGAAGTTCGATTTCTTGCCTATCTGCAAGAAGCTCAGGGACTCAAGACAACCACCCCATTCTCAGCTCTCCTCTTTTCCTCTATGTTGGCTCGCTCGAGTCTTCTTGGAAGATTTTGCGGCCTTCAACGAGATGATGAGGGCGTGAACAAATTGCCTCAGCAATTTGTCTCCCTCTATCGAGAAGTTATTCTAGATTTTTTTGCTGCACCGTCTACACAAAGAATAAGCAGTCGAGACAAACTGGGATTTAATGGAACCTTCAAAATCATTCCTGATGGTTAGTTATCACCATTGAACCTTGTTTACTGTTTGGACAATATTTTAATTAAGTTTGAATCTCTTTGTTCAAACGAAGAGGCATTGTTTGTCAATGGCTTAGAATAACGTTACAGCGACCAGACGGCCAACTCCTCCTCTCTCCAAATTTATTTTACTAATTGGCTCAGAAATGACGGCTTACTTTTCAAGATGTCTAATCAGAAGTCAAAATTGTGTTCTCCAACCAATTATGTCTATGTTACTTAACGGTTTACCAAATAAGTTCCTACAATTCTAGAAATTCATTTCTCCATCGTTATACTTTAAATTGTCTATGTTCCCGTAGATTTTAGTGAATCAAGGGCTGTCCTTATGCCTTGGCGCCACTTTATATTTTATGGCAATCAGTTCTTTAGTCTGTTGTCAACCTCTCCAAAAGATATGAATGCATTTAGGTTATAAAAGTTGCAGTCACATGAGACATTGCTTGCTATCCACCTACCCCTATCTTCTCACATGTTCCTCTAGAATTTTGAGGGCAGAAGTAAAGAAGAACTGGCTTTGATGATCAAACAACTCGGGTTTTGATAAGTAGTTAATTACCACGGGTTTTGTCGCTTATAGTATGATACATCTACCGAATGCTGGAGCATACCACGAATTCACACAGTATTTTCAATAGAGACTTTAGTTAATAAAAAATACGAGTATTTGATAGGAAATTTAAATTTTTTAAAATTAAACGTCTACTACACGCATGCATTACCAAGAGCGAAATGTATATCTACCAATTTTTAAGTAATTCTACCTGCGAATGACTCCAGTTCCAGAGCTGCCCTTTAAAACATATCTTGCTCGTAAGTAAGACCAGCATCATCAAACTGAACTAAGTTGTAAAAGTTAGCAGAAGTATAAACCCTTTACTTGATCTCTTCTTCTTAGGGGATTAAAGAGTATAAGGAAACATTTAATTTTAATTTAGGAAATTTAGCAATTCCTTCAAATCGAAAACATATCCGAGTTTTAATTTATTAGGTTGGCAACTAAGTCATTGCCGATTTCAAATAAGAAGGCAAATTCGGAATTTTTGTTTAAAAATATAACTTTATTCAATTAGATATTGGCCCTTCTTGTCGATGACCTTTTCACATCGTTCTGGCAGAGTAAAAATTTCCCCTTCGTAAAATGTCTGGTCTTTGCTATTAAAAAACTGAATTAGATGTGATCCGACATCATCCGCGTTGTTAAAAATTTTACCATTTAAAGAGATTTGCATGCAACGAAACAAATGGTAATCCGAAGGCGCAAGGTCAGGGCTATACGGTGGGTGTGACAAAACATCCCAACCCAGTTCCAATAATTTTTGTCGAGTAAGCAAAGATGTGTGGGGCCTTGCGTTATCATGATGGGAAACAACACCCTTCCGATTTGATAATGCCGGCCGCTTATCTTCAATTGCATCCTTCAGTTTTTCGAGTTCTTCAACATACACATTT